CCCCACCCCCGCCCTTGAGCACAGCTTCCCGTTCAATGCCGAACAGGGCTGACTTGAGAGCTGTCTGTAGCAGCTTTGCCACCTTTATCCCACTCTGAATGTAAATGATTTCCTGGGAAATTTAAGAAAAATGGTAAGAGAGTGCAGGGTTTGCTTCTATTGAAATTAGTGGTGGAAAAATCATTTTTTATTCTGTTATTTTTCTCTGCACTGAAGCAATTCTCAGGGCAAGCAAATTACTTTTCAGACAATTCATAGTGAGCTGAAATTCTGTTATCACTGTTTACAAGTGTGTTTATGAAAACTCATGAAGTTTTAGTAATTACGAGAATACTTTATAGACTCCAAGGCATCCTGTTTAGCACTGGGGGCTGGAGCCAGCCGACTTCAAAAATGCATCCACGCCGCCCCCACTTCAAGTAAACAAAATTCCAAGCTTGCTTTTATTGCACTGTAACTTTACATGGGAGAAATAATCAAGCTTTACACGGCATTGTAAAAATGAAGTCAATATTTTATCTCCTGTTTTATACCCATTGTAAAAAAAACTAATACATAACAGTGGTACATTATGATAACTTCATTACACTCTGATCATGCTGGCGAATAATGCATTGGTCTGAATTTTAAACATGACAGAAAAATTACCTATTTTTATTGTTCTTTAGTATTTCTCCAATGTGGACAGAACAATAACATTTTCAGCCTGCTTCAAGTATCCACTTGGGACTGCCAATCATCTTGATCAGAAAAGATGCTGTCTGGAGGTCGTTAGTCACTGTGCATGATGTGAAACACCCGGCACATTACAAATTACTGAACCAATATTTACTGATGGCAAAATTAAAACATTCACATGGAAATACACCTGCAGCATAAATCACTCAGTTCTCCCTATTATTCCCTGTTGTAAAGAAATAGGCTATGGGCCAAATTCTGCTCTGTTCTAGTAGTGCCGTTCTGGAAACCCTGCCTGGTTTTCACCAGACTTACACTAGTGTAAATCCCGACAGATTCTGGCCCTGATAATGCAGCACTGGAACATGTCATTAATGATAACGCTGTTGGCTTTTGCTTTACTGATATACTGATAGCACTTTGAGTCTGAAACAGTAACAGGCATAATAGACTCTCAGCGCAGAGGGCCCTCTTCCAATACAAGCATTTTCTGCACTGAAAGGATATTTATGCAAAATGGATCTGCTCTGTTGTTATACTGTCATTAAGACAGACAGGGGAAAATGAATATTCATTACCGAAATATTAAAGTCAGAAATCTAATACAGCACCGAATGGGCCAGAGCCTGAGTGCTATGCCAGTTCACACCAGGTAAGAATCTCACCCATTGCTTTTAACAGTGCAGTTTGAACACTCATGTAGCAATAAACGCTGGACCCTGCCCTATACTCTACCACCTGGTACCTACATTTTGTCACTAGAAGCTGCGGGTCCCAAGTATGTCTGGAAGAGAGGCTTTGTAGCTTAATGTTCCCAAGTTCAAAATTGTCGAGCGGCATTTTTAGTTGTCATTTTTTCCAGTCTCTAGTAGTGACTGTGTTGTTGCATCTTTGCATTGTGCTTCAGATGAGCATAGGAGTATGAACCCTGTATGGGGGGAGCAGGTGTGAATAGCTCTCAATCTAAATGCTAGTATGGCTGTTGAATAGCTAGATTATTAACCTGCACATCTGGGTTGCAGGACAGGGATTTCATCAGACTCCAGGTCCATGGGCATGTTTGATCCCTTTAAAGGCTTCATGTTGAAAGCAAACTTTATAATTTTTAGCACAAATCTTTCTGTATAGAAATCTGATACCGAAACGCATCTCACACTCTCCCTGACAAATTCTTCCTGGTGTGTTACCCAATCTGCAAGACAAGAGACTCGGGGCACTGTCATTATTATGATTATTACTGTTGTTATTAATATTATGAAGCAAACAATATGGTGCAGAGTTCTCTGTTCTCCCATGTAGGGCTCCTGTATTTCATGCTCAAACAGAAGTCTACAAAAGCGTGCAACGCTCAGCTCAGATGTTTGGTTCCTGCCGCTAACTTTGTAGTGTAAAAAGCAGGCGCAACTTAGCATGATTGTGACTTAGTAGCGTACCTCATTGCTTTGGGTTTACTTGCGCTGTTGGAGAACAGTGGTTCAGGTACTCATGGAAATTGCCTAATGTCGAAACACATGATCAATAGCAACTCGTTTTCACAGAGCAGGAGAAAGATCACACAGCAACGCTGCTAATGATGCACTTTTCTTGCCGCTTTCCTAGATGAAGGGCTGTGGGATACATTTGTGAAGGACATCCCCCGCAGTGCTACCTCCTACACAGTCAGTCTGGACAAGCTGAAACAGGGGGTGAGCTATGAATTCCGGGTGGTAGCTGTAAATGAGTTTGGATATGGAGAACCGAGCACTCCCTCTGCAGCAATATCGGGTAATCATGTGTTCTGTATTATACCCTCTCCCTTGGGCTTTCTTTATAAGGGAAAGAGGAGAGAGAAACCAGACCCCTTCGTACACAAAGCAGTGAGGGCCTGCACTATTTCATTTTCATGCCAGCATTGTGCTGTTGAAATTGGGCTGATGCTGAAGTGACGCAGTGGTGAATCGCACAGCCTGATGATAGTCCAGTGGCCTGCCTCTCAATGGGAAGCTGCTCTAATGGACAGCAGGTGCACATCAATTGAGCATTTGCCAAATACACTCATTAGGGGGCAATGGGGATCATGCATATCAATTCTCGTGTGTTTAGGCATGCCTGTTTAGCATGTGTGGCGGGTGAGGTGGCCCTTTCTCCCTCCTCCTCTCTCTTTCTCATTCCTCCCCCAGTCTCCCGGGATAGACACTCGATGTGTTTGTTACCTTGCAGGTTGCTATGAAAAGGGTGCCAGGTGTTTAACTAGCAAAGAAAGTTGTATCCTGCCTGTTGGCAATTCCACTTAGCTAAATGCAGCTCTCCCCAGCCCTCTCTCTGAAGCCAAGAAGAAGATCCCCATCCCAGGATCAGACACTAAGACCACACGAGCAAAACTGCTGATGGTATTCATGCACCCTTTTGCCAGCTGCACCAGGCTGTGTGCAAGATGTAATGGTATAGTCAAAACCCCATCAGAAATCCCTCCAGCCTCAGGGCTGACGGCTTAGTGCCAGCCGGAAGGTAATTGGCCGTAAGTACTTTGAGAAGCAACCTCCACTGAAGCTCGCTGAGTGTCTTTGGTGTGTGCGCGGCTGGAATCGGATGGCCTGTTGTGCAGTAGGAGACTCTGCCCTTGTCAAGGCTCCGCGCCAGTCTCTCCGTGCCCTTGCTGAGACGCTGCCTTCCGCTCCCAGTTGCTCCTGGGCAGAGGGTTTCATCTCTGCGGAGTCAGCAAAAGGCTGGGAGCAGAAAAATAAAACCTGTTAAAAGTGCCTTTGTGATTCCAAATTCGGGCACTTCCTGAGGGCCTGGCAGTGATCCAGGATGTGGAGTGGCTTTTATCTCTCTGCTCCTGGAGTGCAAAGCATAAACACTGTTCAACAGTTTGCCAGCAGGAAGGAGAAGTAAATGCAAGTCTCACCATCACGGGGGCGTGGGTTTTGTGCTTAGTTCCTGCACGACGAATCGCTCAGCCGTAAGGAAAGCCGATGGATGTCAGGGTGAGCAGCGCCCTCGCTTTTGTCTCCAGGCCAGGCACAAGAGTGGTAGGGACACCAGATACCAGGAGCCACCGTTTCTTCCCTCTGCGGTGGCACAGTGTGTGGCATAACGCGAAAAGGCTGTTGTGTAGCTGGAAGCCCGTCAGCCGCTCCCCTCCTTCCAGCCAGGAGTGGTTCCCCCCACAGGGTACACAGGCAGCTCCTTGTAAATAAATTGCTTGTTTGTAATTCTCCACTTGAGCAGAACTATTTAATTCACCTCCTTTGGATGTTGTAAGGTTTATCTCCAATTGCTGCTTAAAGAAAGAGGTTTCTACTGAGAAGTGCAGGCATAAAAGCCATAAAGCATTGCAGGCTGGCCACTTTAGCTGGCACAGACAGGTATAAATTACACTGAATCTCTTCATCCCCCATCCTGGCCTTCTCTACATGCCTTTAGGGCTTTATTGGCTTGTGCTGCCCTCCCAGCAGAGAGGAACTGCAGATACTTTCCACAGCTACATAATCTCTAATAATTTGGCATGAACCTGGGCCCAGTCATTAGGTGCCCAGCAGGGGTGGGTTCAGATCCAAAGGTTCTGGGCAGGAAAGCACAGTCCTTGCAGGTACAAGGAAGCTAGAAGTGTGGGCTGAACAGCCTGCATTCATCCACACTACAGTAGGTTTCCTAGCCACTCCTACCAGGTATTTTTCTACCTCGTTGACTATAGTGGTGCTCTGTACCACTGAGGGTCTGCAATAATGCTGCCTCTCCAGGTTGAGATCTGAGAATAAAGGCAATAACGGGTTGATATTAATAAGAGTGGTGCTTACCAAGGATCTCAGAGCCCTTGGTCAGGGAAGGGAAGTGTTGTATTGCAGCTGGGGAAAATGAGGCCAGATGGGTTGAGGTGACTTGTGGAGTCCACGAGAGCCAGGCATGGGACTCAAAGCTCTGAAGAGCAGGGAAGTGGCCAAGTAGGACTGGGTAACTTCAGCGTGTGTGAACAAGAGGAGAGCTAAGAAGAGAAGAGCCGGGTTGTTAGATGCTTGATTCAAGGTGCATGGGGATGGAGTGGTTTTTAAGACCTGGCTAGACAAAGCCTTGGGGTGGCCCTGCTTTGAGCCGGGGGTTGGACTAGATGTGATCTCCTGAGGTCCCTTCCACCCTTCATTTTCTCTGATTGTATGGACGCTGATAGCTCACTGGTCCTGGGTGTGCGTCGTGCAAGGTCAGGTAGATGCTGTCCTGCATAGGTTCAACTAAAATAAGCAGTGGAGTTCCTGCAGGTCAGATGACATGTGAGATGTAGAGACAGCGAATATCGGGGCACTAGCAGTCAGGAAGCCTGAGCACATCAGGAGAACTGTAAGGGAGCGTCTTCACCTGGGACTAACCCCTTCTCTTAAGCCCTCCAGTTCTTGTGATTAAATTGGATACCAACTTCAATGGGAAATGAAGGAGCTGCTGAAGGGGCTTCGGGCGACATAATCGCACTAATGATGCACTTTTTCTCCTCGTAGCACAAACAGAAACCCCTTTCTATGAGGAGTGGTGGTTCCTGCTGGTGATGGCACTTTCCAGTCTGATCCTCATCTTGCTGGTGGCATTTGCCTTGGTCCTGCATGGGCAGAGCAAGAAATATAAGAATTGCAGCACGGGTGAGTGGCTGATGTTTGCATTTCACTTCGTCCTACATCCTGGATGTACTCTTAGGTGTTGAAGAGACTGGGAGTGGGAACATGCTCTGTTTCAGCAGCTGTGCTATCTTTCATTCTGCCTATTTTATTTGGCTGGAGCAGATAAATCAGATCTCCGTTTTGATAGAAATGGCTTTTGCTGCTCCATGTTTCCAACCATGTACGAGTACCATATTTGCTCGCATACAGCACACCCTGGAATATAATACACACTTTGTTTTTGAAAGGCAGAATGCAGGGGGAAAGATCTTTCCTTATAGTAAGTAACTAGGTGCATCTCCCCATGCAATTAATTCAAAGCAATCAATTCCAACACAGTTCACGCCAGAATTTATTGCTCGTGGGCACTGCATTTTAACAAGTGCCCAGAACTGCAGCATGTTGAGCCAGGGTGGAGCATCCCCACCTGGCAGGGGCCCCAGGGGGTGAGCTTGACAGCTTGGGGCTGCTCCTGCCTGGTCCAACATGCTGCAGAGGAGCTGGCTGGGGCATAAGGGTGCTTCAGTGTGGGGCTAGTCGGCAGGCAGTCCCCGCTCTGAAGTGCCTTTGTGTCCCAGCCAACCCCATCAGCATCTACACATGTGTTGCAGCACATTAAATAACTCTGTTGCAGTCTGTTAGTTTATGGCAGCCAAATAGGGCTGCACATGTAGATGTTGAGAGTTTACTGCAGAGCTAATTAGTCAGCTCCGCAGTAAACCCCTCATGTAGACATACCCACTGACTAGCAGCCACTAGGGAGCTGAGCCTGCTCATTGCTCTACTGTCTGTGGCTCGCTGCAGATTTTACTTCTGGTCTCACCCCAGTGCCAGAGAATCTTTTTCTGGGATATAATGCACACTCCAATTTCCAGCTGCTGCTTCCAGAGGAAAAGTTGCATGTTGTATATATTTAGGGAATTTGCCCATGCTGGGAGCAAATTGCAGCCCATCTATATGATAAATAGCATAAAGATAACTCACATCCTCAGATGTTAGCCTCAGGTGTTGTGACTGTTTGAATTTCAAGTGTATTCTGGGTCCCAGGCTTCTAATTTGTTCTTAGTAATGTTCTTTAACTGTCACCTTCTCAGAGGAAACAGGAGCTCCTGTCCCATCCCTGGAAATGGGCAAATGTTCCCCTTTCAAAGCACAGGTCACCCCTGGCTCTGGAGCTTTGAAAATCAGTTTTGCAGTGTTCTTTGTGCATGTTTCTTTGACATTAGCTATTCCCAGGAAAGAGCTATGTGAATGCCCTGATGTTAGCATATTCCAAAATGAACGCTAATTAGCCAGAGTGGGCAGTGGGGGCCACAGCTCCTGTAATGCTGAAGGGCTGGTATCATCCAGATAGATGATAGAAGAGCCTCCGTGAGCACGTCCAGGGATTCAGCCCAAGAGAAAGGATTTATTCCTTCTGTGTAAATTCACTTCTAACAAGTGTTAGTAAATCAGATTTTTAGTCCCAGGGGATTTAAATGTGTGCATGCCATGGCATTTTACCAGGCTAATGCTATTACGTATCCCTATGCCCAGCACATAAAAAGTCTCTCATCCTCCGAGTTGTGCTTTCTATTTGGAAGACAGACATGAAAAGGCAGATTTGACCTCTCCCTTCTGATATCCATGTTCCCACCTAGTCCTAGTGTAGCATTCAAACTGAAGCTGAGGATAACGTTACCTGCCTGTAGCAAAGTGGCAATAAGAGACCAGTCTTCCTGCCCAGGACATCAGCAAAGCTCAAGCCTTTGGGACAAGCCAGAGGGGGGAAAATCTCTTGCTACGTCTTTCTCTTCCCCTTCCCGCTTCCCCTGTCCTTTGTTCTTTACTTTGCTTGTTCCTATGATTTGTCTCCCTGTAGCATCTGCAATCTCTTTTACCTTTCACCATCCACCCAGGCTTTCTTTCTAGTTTCATTCCTTCCTATCACCTGCCTTCTTCTTTTATCCTTCTCTTCATTTGCTTCGATCAGCATCGCCCTCATCCTGTTTTCAGCCTGCTCCTGCCCAGCTGACTTCTCTGCCTCCATGCTAGGATATTCTGCCATAGAGAAAGAAGGTAGAGAGTGTTGCAGAGCCTGGGAGTAGCAATAAAAGGAATGATAGGTTTGCACCTTGTTTCTGGTGCTTCCTTAGATTATTTCTTTGCACATAACTGAGGCAGCATCCTTCTGCCAGCTAACCACTGGTTGTTTACCTCCAGGTAAGAGCATCTCTAACGTAGAGGAAACTGTTACACTGGATAATGGAGGCTTCACGGCATTGGAGCTCAACAGCAGACACCTAAATGTCAAGAGCACGTTCTCCAAGAAGAATGGGACAAGGTAAGAAGGGAGATGCCACCTTCCAGAGTTAGCCATAGTTTCTTTTGCGTACTTAGCTTCATACTTACCATGGAACAAGCAAATAGGATCTTGGGATAGACCTCTGCTTGGAGGATCTGGTGGAAATACTGAGTTAATTTATGAATCCCTGCCCTTGATTGTGATATCAGCCTCTGATAGTCAGTGCTGTGATCACTGATCAGAGACTGAGCAGAGCGTGGCCTGGCATAGATGCTGAACTTTTCATTTCAGGGATGAGGTAAGTTTCTTAGTGATGGTGCTTTTGTTCAGAGGGGGCAGGAACGTCAAAGGTGATACTGTCAGGTATGGAAAGGATTTTAGCATGTGTATGGTACTTGTTAAAAAGAAATCCCATACACTATCCCTGTGTCTTCTTCCAGGTCCCCTCCTCGTCCAAGCCCTGGTGGGCTGCACTACTCCGATGAGGACATCTGCAACAAGTACAATGGGGCGGTGCTGAGTGAGAGCGTGGGACTGAACGAGAAGCCTATGGAGGTGTCAGAGTCAGAGGTGAGTGCCCCCCCCACACACACCCACACTAGACAAGTGTCAGAGCTTGCACAGTCCCTGAACTCGCCCATCTCATCACTGGCCAGAGGGAGGTCTCGAAAATCAGGTGTCCTTCTCTGTCCTGGGTCAGCAGCAAGCCTTGTAGAGGATAGAGCTGAGCACACCCTGGGCACCCAAGTCCACTGATGGGCTCCAGACTTGGAGGCTTATTCATAGAGCTGCTCCCAGACTTGTTGTCCGGCAGCTGCTTCCAGGCTCACTGGAGACCAAGGGCTCAAGGGCAGATGTTGGGGACAAACCTATAGCAGCCCTACAGGCAAACTCTGGTGGGTGGGGGTTGCTCAACCCTGTTGCACCTTCCCCTCCCCAGACCTACCACTGGTGCAGTGCAGACACAGTACTTTGGGGACCTCAGGCATTTGGTTCTCATGGCTCGTCCCCTGCAGAACAGCATTTGTCCGCCTACAAAACTGGAATGCTATGGTGATGAGTAATGAACAGTTCCTACCCATTGCACGTTCACAGCCTGGCTGCATCAGGTCCTTCAGAATCTCCCAGTGTTGCTGATAGCATGCAAATGCAAACGGTCAAGCTGTACAGCACCTTCTCAGTTAGGCATTGAGTATTCTGCTCTCCTTTTGGGGTTGCAACCTTGAAGCTCCTGGAAAAAAATGCACATGCACGGAGATGTCAGGATGTAACCAGCCCCCTGCATGTATCTCCTGAACTGAGAGTCATCTGAAATGAACTTCACATCATGAGACTGAAGCACATATGGCTTGAAGTTTTCACAGTGAATCTCCTTCACAGCTGCTCTGCAGCTCCCATCAGCACTAAGGTTAAGGAGAGCAGTCTCCTTTTTAACAATAATTCTTTGCTTTTCTGTTCCACCTTCCCTTCAAAGATCTCAAAGCTCTGCAGTAATACTTGCAGTAAGTAAGCCTCCACACACCCCTGGGAGTAGGGCAGCTGGTTTGTTACAGCCAGGGAACCTGAGGCACTGATGCTTGCAGGATTAGCCAGTAGTCGCATAGAAAATGATGCCAAGAGCCAGGATTTTGGTTTTCTGACTCCCCAACCTGTGTTCTTACTACAAGGATGCTCTGCCTTCCTTTCAGCTTGCTGTTACATTGTGTGTGTAGGGAAGATAGTAGTTTCTGCTGATATTATGCATTTGAGTCCTCTGGTTTCCATCTTGCATTCTCTTTGTGGAGAAACAAAGCATTCACACTGCAGGAATGCAGCAACCACTCTGGGTTAAAAGCCTGGTTTAGAGGCCGCGTTAAGGAGCATGAGAAAAGGTAAATGTGTCTATAAAATTGTGTGTTGTCAACTGAAATCCTGACGAATCAGGGCTGACAGCACAAGGAGCCAGCAGTGGGCCAGACCGCTCCAAGCCTGACCCTTCCAGCAAGGATAAACTGAAAGCAGCAAATGGTTAAAGATGACAGATTTCATCTGCAGCTGCAGCTCCAGCTGCTTTTCATGGCTACCTGGCTCTCACCTCTTGTTAATTATTGTGGGCAGACCGCTGCTTTGTGCTGCCCTATGACTGACCCTCCGTACAGCGGGCAACCCTTGCTGCAGCTCCAGCCTCTCCTTGTGTGATGCCCAAGATTCAAATCCATGTTATTAATGGGCACATCCCCTGCAACAACCCAGAATTAAACCTGCCCTTAATACAGATAGCAGAACATGATTGTGAGTTTAGTGCCTCCCCTGTTTGACTCTGATTTCAATATTTTCAATATTGTGTGTTTCCTGATTGGGCACAAAAATACCCTGTGGGGGTGCAGTGAGGGGGTCTGCTTCTACCCTAGACATGTGCAGGCTGTACAGTGTGGACAGAGGACAGTGAATTTTAACCGTGCCCTGAACATTATTATCTATTTGTTCCGCATTGTGGTAGAACCTAGGGGCCCCTAGCAAGATCCTAGCCCTCCGTGCTCATGTCGGTGCGCGCACGTTTGTGCACGAACAAAATGCACTGCCCGGTTTTCCTTGGCGCTTAGCTGCACAGCCCTTCTGCACAGTTTCTTTGATGCTTCCTTGTTTTTCTTGGGGAGCGCTTTAAGGCACAAAATGGTAATGGGCTCCCAGCAGAGGTAGCAATCAGAGATGCTGCCTTTTGATCAGTCTGCAATTGCTGTTTACTTTGGGTGGGGTGGGCAGGCAGTTTGAACACCTTATTTTCGAGGAGTGGTGCATCTTTTATCTCCTCCTTGTTTGTGTTTTCTGCTCTTCTAGGCTTTGTTCTCACAGGCTGTCTTTGGAGACAAGCTCAGGCTTCCCAGCATTTCAGCCTCTCCATCTTCTTTAGCAGAGAGCGAGATTTTCTGTGATACAGAGAATTAAAAGAGGGCTCATTACCATGAGGGCACTGCAGAAGCTCTGTCCTTTGCAGCAAAGAATATTCTGATGCCGTTTTCCTCGGGTGCCTCTTTCGGTGTGTCTTGGATTCCACTTAATACAGCGTGTCTGGCCGGCTGAGACTTGCTTTCAGCTAAGATGTCATCGTCTTGCATTTCTGCTTTAACCCCTTAGCCTGAGGTGTCAAGTGTTTTGCAGGAGGGAGAAAGGAAAATAAACTCCCGCCAGCTCCCACGGGGTTGCTGACATGTGAACAAGTCCGTAAGAGACTCTCAGACTGAATCCCTGCTGTTAGCACGCGGCTCTCAGGGGGCCCCGCGGCTCTGCACCAAGGGAGGAGAGCAAGGAGGCAAACAAGGGAAGAAACCTGTAGGCAGCTGCATTCTGCTATGCATTTATCAGAAAGATCAACTTAGGCGCTCCATGACAGGGAAGCCAAGCATTGGGGAGATAGAAATGGTTTAATTGGCATGCAGAGCAGATGGGGCAATACAGCCATAAGACAGTAAAGTGCCAAATAATAACTAACAACAGGCTTTTTTTTTCTTTTTCTTTTTCTTTTTTTTAACATGAAGAGCCAAGGAGATGAAGTTGTCGGGGAATCACTTGATGAACTACCCGTGCTCAGAGTAGTTGAGTGATGCCGCCAGCTTCTCTCCTTATCCACCGAGAGGCTGGGAAGGGGGGTAGGTTGCTTGTTTCGGGCTCTCGGTTTAGAGCTTTTCCCAACTCAAATACTCCGCCCAGCGATGACAATGGTTTGGACAGCGCCGAATGCTAGCACGGCAGTGACCTTCTCAGCAGCCTTGCACAGTAAAAAAAGAATGGTGGCTTTTCCACTCTATGAATGCCATATACTGATATTTTCCACTTCAAATTAATTCCTGAGCGTAAATGGATTCATTCGCCGTGATTTGGAAGCCAGCGATAGGCAGCCTGCTAAGCAAATGGCTAACCTACCCTCCACCGAAAATCCCCATGCCTGTTTGTCCTCTCGCTTTCTCGTTCGACTGATACTGGCTGATTCGTTTACTGTCAGCAGATAGGGAGTCAGCATGTTAACCTACCGGCAGGGGGAGGTGATGGCTGGCCCTGGGACCTGCACTGAGCAGTGTGACTTGTCATTTATCGGCCAGGGAGGAAGAAGCGTCAAAGAAATGGGGGTGGCGGAAACTTTCCGGACTGCACGTGTGCTGGTACAGGTTGCTAGTGAGTCTGCTCATATTTCTCCGGCAGGCATTGGCAGCACCTCCTGCACGCAAGGGCTGCTGTTCTCTGTATTATTTATTAGAAATAAACCCAGAAGAACATTTCTGCTCCCATCCCTTTCCAAGCAATGTGCCACTCAGAACTATTTTCAAATTCCCTGTAATGCTGGCCCTTGGACTAAACGCACCGCTGGCCCCTAATTTTTCTCCTCGCAGCATTTCTGCCTTTCATGTTACCAATAAAATACTTAAATTGTCAGTCATTTTCTTTATTTGCTGCTTCACGGGCATCCGTGCACCTTTGGTTGTCAGATTCTAATCTGACAGCACATCCAATCAAATTCCAGCCTACAAAGGTTTCCTAGGTAACAAACTCATAGGCACAATGTAGGACTGCACCGAACAGAAGAAAAAGGAAACAAAACAAAAAAACAAACAACCCCCCCCCACCCTGCAGCAGTTTTATTTAGTCAATAGTTGTGAAGTATTAAAAAGAATATAACCACTCCAAAAACAGATCCTGTGGTACAGGCATTCTGTATCATAATGGAGGGCAGGAGGAGAAATAAAATGTACCCTAAAAGTCTGTTTTTTTCAGCAGAGAGGAGAGCCTGGGACCATAATTCAGAGAATTACTTATAAGTGAACCAATAAGGATGCTGCTTCTTATTTTATATTGTCCAGAGTCTGGAAGATGCTTTGCAAGTATATACAGGCAGAACGATCCCTGCCCTAAGCAACTGTGACTCTGCAAAGAAAATGGATTGTAGACACCAAGCCAGTGCTAAGGGGGGAGAGAAACAGGAGAAGGTCCAGACGCAGACAACAAAGATGATAAAGGGGCTGGCAGAGGAGCCATAGCAGGAAAGGTTGAGAGAACTAGGCATGTTTAGTTTGGAGGAAAGGAGATGAAGGCAGGAGACACGATAGCAGTTTTCGACTGCTTGAAAGCCTGCCATGAAGAAGATGGAGAAAAATTGTTCTTCCTTGCCACAGATGGCAGAACGAGAAGCGGTGGATTTAAACTACAGCCCAGTAGTTATGGATTAAATTGTCTTGCCTGTAAGAGGAATCAGAGAAGGAACGAGCTGCCTACGGGCGTTGTAGTAGGGTAGAAAAGTTATGGCATCTTCACTGGAGGTTTTCAAAAAAGGGCTGGATGGGCATCTGTCCAGGATGGGTTAGGAGCAGCCACTCTTGAATTTCTGCAGGTGTGAACTTAACAACCGTGCCAGACTCAATGGTTATCTGAATGGCATGCCCCTTTTCAGCACCAGTGCTGGCACTGGCACAAGTGTAGACAAGGGTTGGGTTATATATGCCATTGCATCATGAGCATCAGGTCTAGAAAATCACTAGCCTTGTCTGTACACCCTCGCTATTAATCATTTAGATTAACGATTTGGAGACAATTATAAGGACACAGCCTTCCAGTGTGGTTTGAAATGTGTGATCACCTGATTCTGCTCAGAGCAAGTCCAAAAGACTTGGTGCTTCAAATGCCAGCAGCCTAGTTACACCGCTTCCCCTAGTGTCTCCAGTGCTTTGAACCTTGTCTCCTTGATGTTTGGCAATCAAGGCATAGGTTTGGCTTTAGCAATGACTGCTTTGGTTGGGGTGGTAGATGATGCTGGAGATAAAAGTGACCGTGCTGGTATGATTAGTTTTGTCCGCTTCCATCGATGCTATTGAATACAAGTGTTATAGAATCAGTCATGTGTGGGCCTTCCAGGAGCAGCAGTACTGTTCTACAGTGGCTTCATTGCTTTCTCTTGGACAGACCTTATAGGGTAGTTGTGGGTAATTGATTTTCTTCCTGAAGAGTTTTTGGGAGCCCCCCTGTTTCAGCAAGTATGCAGAGCCTTCCAGGTTAGTAAGGAGTGGTGAGAATGAGATCGGTGTTTTCAGTGTGTAAATGGCGTCCAACAGCATGTCTCTGTCTTGTCCAATTCACCTCCTTAGCCAGGGCCCCATTAAAATTGGGGTGTGGTTGAGAACAAGATGGCTGTAGCCACCTCTAGAAGAGATGGAGGGGTTGGGTGAAACATTCGGAGAATATGGCAGAGGTGGTCATGCCCTTTGATTGTGGGAACCCATCCATCCTTTCTCGAGTTCACAGCTTTGGAGTCATTCCAGACCCAGCTGGTATTGAATAATCATATTACAGCAGCAACCCGTGTGTGACACTTCCGTCACCCGCAGTGGCGATGCATAGGGGGTGCACAGGGGTGCCTGTGCACCCCCTGACTGGCCGCACTCGCTGCTTAGGCAACAGGCAGGTGGGAGCACCGGTGCCCTCCATGTGAGCACCGGCCAGGGAGTGGGAGCACTGCAGCGCTCTCCAAAAGCAGCCACGGCCACTTCATGATCAGCTGCAGGGGACACCCCACCCCAGTCGGTGAGATTTCCCCCCTTCCCTTAGTTGGTCGCTGACTGGTTGCTGGCGGGGCACATGCCCCCCTGACTAAGGTGGCACTGATCACCCATGGTCACCCGCAGCTGACTAGGACAAGGGTTTTCAACTTTTTTGGGTCAGTGTACCCCCAGTGGCCAGTCAAGAAGGCAGGAGTCCCCCGGTGGTCGTTTGGCAACGGGGGTCCCCCACAGCCTATCAGCGACTGTGCCAGTAGCAGTGGAAGTGCCGGCAGCAGCAGTACCCACTCCCAAATACCCCCTGAGGCCATCTCAAGTACCGCCAGGGGTACACGTACCCCCCAGTTGAAAACCCCTGGACAAGGAGGTTGCAACCTATCCTTCCAGATGCAGACCTTGTCACTGCTATCCATGGTAGTGTTACCTTGAGATTAACTTATTGTGGTGCCCTCTAGATGGGCCTGCATCTTAAAACATTTGGAGGGTTAAGGTGGTACTGAATGCAGAGCATTTCACTGATACTATGGGATACCGCTGGTCTGGGATCTGCACTGGCTGCAAAGAGAATTTAAAGTGTTGGCTACACTATAAAGCCTGAGGGATAACTTCTCCCCTGCCCCGTATCATGCTGTCATATCACAAAAGAGGTGGGGTGGCTCTGCCAGGGTTTTCTAAGACTCTGGAACCCCTCTTTAAATGCAAGAGGGCACAAATTGGATGACATTCCAGGCACGCCACAAGAGACTTCTGCGTGATCTGGCATTTGGAGGGAGCTGAGGGTTTGTTTCACAAGATGAGGATGGTGGAGGGAAGTGTTTCTGTAGGCAGCGAGTTCCTTTTGGAATAATTATTTCATGCTGCAAGGATTTTGTTGTAATATTAATTGTGTGTCAGGATGCCCAGAGCCCCATATAAGCATTTATTATTGAAATTTAAATAAATACATAATAAAATAATAAATAATTCTGATAGAGCCAAGCCACAGCAAAGAACAGAAGGAAAGTTTTGCAAAATGTCCTTGTGTTATGAAAAGCTGCTTTGCAATGAGTTTCGCGGCACAGTGGAGAAATGCCTGAGACCCGTCTGCTCTCTGGTGCTGGGAAACCGGCACTGAATTTGCTTATGCAGATGAAGCCATGCAGACAGGAGAGGGATGGAAAACATGTCACCATTTTAAATAATTACAGTGTGTTGTGAAGCTGGCTCTTCTGGGACTGTTAACAGGTGGTTTTTAAAAGGCTTTTGGTTAAGGATACAGCAGTTGTGCTGGGATCTAGGAGGCCATGTGTTTGCTGTGTAGGGCCACGATGATATGGACAAGCAACCCCTTTAAAACCCATTGCAGCCCCTGTAATCTGCATGCTCTCTCAAGTTTTCCACCTATCTCTTGTATTTCTTAGGGCAGTATGATATCTGGTCACCTTCAGCAGAGCCCCAGATAACTATTCAAAAAGAGGAAAGCAGTTTTGGCATGATAAGCCCAAAGACACTGAGAAACCAAAACATGAAGGAAACTGTTGAGCAAATCTCTCTCTGTTTTGTCTGATATGTCCATTATGGAGGTAGCCAGAAATAAGGGGAAATAGGTATATATATAATGTATATCATACGTGGAATATATATATGCATTCAGCTAAGCTTCATTTTGATCTTACGAGATCTACAAACCAATGAAGATTCTGTCTTCCGGATAATAGCAGCAACACTTCAGCAGCGGGCTGACTCACAGAGCTTATGGGAGCTCCCCAAGGAGCTTCAAGTGTCCATCTAGTTGATGGTGAGTGCACAGACTCTGTGTAACATGAGCCTTTCCTGGGAAGCATTTCACCACTGTTTTGGTGCCTCACTGTTGCCTTGATAAACACTGAACAGTAAATTTGCCTAAAACCGTGGTTCTTGATACACGTGGTCCAGGGTGGGAGGGCAGGGGTCGGGCATTTTAATTAGAACAGCCACTCTAATTAAAGCACCACAGCGTCACGTGTACTAAGCATCCCACATTTCAAAATGGCCACGGGGGTGCTCATTTGATCAGTTTTAGTTAAAGTGCCCCCCCCGCTGCCATTTTGAAATCTAGGATGCTTAATACATGTGACAGTGAGGCACAGTGAAGCACTCTAGCAAGAGCACCGCAATCGAATCTGCTCTGACGTGTTCTAAGTAGAACACATCAGAGCACATGTATAGGCACCCAATAGGTTTGCATTGATTTTACTTCCTGCCTACCGCAATGAGACAGAGACAGAAAAATTCTCATCAACGTTTTACCTGCCTTGAAACTGAAATATCTGAGTGAGTGATTGCAACTTGGCCTTTCACTGCAATATCTTTGCCTTCTTTTGCATCTCCTCTTGAAATGAACCTAGTTACTTTTACAGCCATGATCCTCAGTGAATCAGAACAGATTTTCTAGTATCTTCTACTGTAAGTGTTCATTAGGGGGAAGGACTTCCACTCTGATTGCACTAAACTGTGCTAAATGAGGAACGGGTCTATTTTTACTGTGCTGCATTTAGCCTGCAGACCTATGAATATTCATCTTGTATCAGTTGGTGCTGTCAGAGCACCATAGGGCTAGAAGAGACCTCAGGAGGTCATCTAGTCTAGTGGTTCACAAACTTTCTAGACCGCGGACCAGCATACTTCAGTCTGGGACCAGCATACTTCAGTCTGGCATGACTGGCATGCTCCAGACCTGCAGCCAACCCTTTTGTATACCCAGCCCGCAGTATGCTGGTCACTTCTGGTCTGGCAGCCAACCCTTTGTGGCCCGGTACCAATCTAGCCCAACCTTTTGCTCAAGGCAGAATCGTCGCTGTCTAATCCATCCTAGGTAAGTGTTGGTCTGACCTGCTCTTAAAAACTTCCAAAGATGGAGACTCCACGGTCTTTCTAGGGAATCTCTTCCAAAGCTTGACCACTCTCACAGTGAGAAAATGCTTCTAGATACCCAACCTAAATTTCCCCTCCTGCAGTATAAGACCATTGCTCCTTGTCCTGTCCCTTGTGGCCACAAAAAATAGTCTTCTCCACGCGCCATATAATCACCCTTCAGGTATTTGGAGACTGTTATCAACACCCGCCTTCCCCAACCTACACCTTCCTCTCCTCCCAACTAAATAATCCTAGTTGTGTTGTATCTTCTCTCTTAGAAAGACAAGGAAGCTAACAGTTGTCTCTCTCATGCTGCAGGCCACTGACTCCGATTATGAAGATGAGTTGCCAAAGCACTCCTTTGTGAACCACTACATGAGCGACCCTACCTACTACAATTCCTGGAAGCGGCAGCAAAAGGGTGTGAAACACCCAGCGTCCTACAGGTATGAGGAGTGTGCGGCGAGTGAAACAGAGCCCTATTTCCAGACTGTCATCACAACACAGAGCTCGGGAGGGGTGTACGCCCCCACAGGACAGCCCGCTCCTGGCTCACGGACTCCAGTGACAGGGTTCTCCTCCTTTGTCTGACACTGTGAGGGAGGAAACAGCACAGCCGAAGCTCCTGCGGGGATCGGGACAACCCATCACAGTGACTGTGTGTGTGACCGGTGCAGTGGCCTGGGGGTAAATTTCTCTATCAGGGTAGAGCGGATGTGAACGTGAATGAGTCTATTTTTCTGAAGACAATCAACTCTTACAATGTGGAGCTGAACTAGCCGAACTTTTGTTTAAAAAAAAAAAAAAAATTCCGAAAAGTGACAGTTTTAATCACATATGAATAGTAGGGGTTTTTTTAACTGATTTTTGTAACTCTGCTTTATGAAGCAGCTCCCATGGTCTTCTCTTTTCTTTCCTGCCCCCACCCTATTCCCTTCCAAACAAGAAGGTGAATTCCATGGATGCCGTGAGTGACTTTGTGATGTGATCGGAAAAGAAAACACCCCCAAACCTCCCCAGTTTCTCCCCCATCAGGGTTGAGTAGGAGTGTGAAAAAGGGAACATTTTTTTTTCACATAAAAAAGATGGGAAAATTCTCCCCCCCCCGTTGCTCGTTGCCATTCCACCTCCACGTCAGGAGTACCAGTTGATTAGCTTAGTCTCAGTGGTGTTGCTACTCCTGCCCATAGGCTCACGACTGGTGTTTTCGATAATGAATATATCTTACTGCTTTCTTACCCTGGTCAGGTTGGGCTCGTTGCATTCCTCGGATAGTCTCACTCCAGAGCTTCTGTTAGCGGAGATGGTTTGAAAAAGCTGGAAAAAGCACTGGCTGAAGCAGCCGGGAAGTTACTTTGACGCGGGGTCAGTTTGTTGTTGCTATTGTAAATTGTTAAAAATAAGGAAAAGTAACAAGAGGGGAAAGTATTCAAATGTAGGATCCATTGGTTGCAGTTAATGAGCTGGAATCTAGGGTCTGATGGTTGCAATTAATGAGCTGGAGAACCTGCTAATGGATTAATTGGATTGTGATTATCACAGCAGTCCTACCCTATCAATAAAGCTCAGCACCCCCCGCCCCCAGCTCAGACAGGATTCTGCGGTGCTGCACACTGATCCGTGCCCTTACCTGGGTTTCTTTGAATTTTATCTTCTCTCGTTTTTTTAAAACAAACACAAAAAAATTTTTAATGCAAAGGCCGATCGCACTGAGGGGGTGAGTTTTGGTGTCCACAGGTGCCTTCTATTGATTGCTCAGCTTTGTACATGAGAAAAGCAACCAGACATCTCCTGAATAAAGTGAAGCAGGTTTTCAGACACGAGGGTTGTGAACTCCCCTGTGCACACGCAGAGGCCGGCTGTGTGCTGTGGCAGCGGTTTTTAGAAAGGAGAGGGGTTTTCTTTGGGGTTTTTTCCAGTCTATTTGGTGCCGCCCCTTTTTTTTTGACCCATGGAGCTGCAGCCAGTTCCTCCTCCCCACCCCCAAGGCCTCTTGCGGGTTTTGTTGGCAAGTTGTTTTGCTCAAGTGGAGGCTGTCAGTGATTTAAAGAATCCCAGTCCAGCCTTGGGACTCGGCAATGCTCCCGTCTTATAGTCGTTCCTGCTCGGGGGGGTTGGAAAGGTTACGCCGGAGCAGCTGTTTGCGGCACGGCCCCTCTCTGGCAGTTCCCTTTAGAGGTCTGAGGAACACCCATGAAACTTGGCACCTCTCGCACCCCTCCCGGCAAGTAGGGCACAGCCTTACCTTTGTTATTGGCGCTGCCTGGCCCTCTCCTCGTAGCAAAGGCGTGCAACAGCTGTAGCATTGGTATTGCTGCTTCCTGCCAATGGCCCTCCAGGCAGGTGTAAAAGGAAAGTAGGGATTGTTACAGCCAGCACTTGCCAGTGCCCCTTCAGGGCAGGTTCGAAGCAGACCTGGCATGAGCACCTCTGACTAGGTGCAGTGCATCCACAACCCTTCAGTGCCTCCTCTGGGCAGGCAGCCTGAGCACAGCTTGTACCCGCTGGTGCAGCCGCCGAGCTTGGCCGCTTTCCGTGCACACGCTGTGCGGCCTCGGTGCTGGATTCACGTTCAAACGCTCCAGGGAAGAGAGAGATTGCAAACCAAAAACTCCACTGAAGGCTTTTGAAACTGAGATACTTCTCCGCAATTCCTCGGATGGGAAGCGTCTTGAAGAGGCAGGGACTAAGGCGTGCCCCTGGGGAGGAAGGAGCCTTCCCCAACCGCACGGGTTGCTCCAAGGAGCAGGGCTTGAACTTACTGTGAAGATGAATGTAGAAGCAGAGAACATGGCGAGATACCACTGCCGTGCTGTGCACTTTGACTGTTCTCTTAAGCCATATGGACATTGCTTTAATTAATGAACTGAAAAGAATTTATTTGCAATTTATTATTTTGGGTTGTTTTTCTTTCTTAGGGAAAATGACACACATGAGCTTTTATTGGGTTGGTTTTTTGTTTTGTTTTTCGTTTTGTTTTTTGGCCTTGTTATTTCCTGTGTGAGATTATGCCTTTTTAGCTATTTTCTTTTCTACAGAAATGTTTATACAATGTAGCTGCTCTGGCAGTTGAATCCATTGTTGGAATTTTAATGCAGCAGCTCTGAGGATAATGTTACTGGAAGCATGTCTCAAGACCCTTCTGGGTAGATCTGCGGCTTGGAAGGGCTCCGATCCAAACACAGGGAAAGCTTCCTCCCAAAGCCATGCCCGAGGAACGCAGGTGCGCCCGTCGCTGAAGCCGCCGTCACTCTGAAGGCGAGCCCCGAGAGAGCCCTTTGGGGGGTGCTGCTGGCCCCATGTGTCCCAACTTCCATTCCTAAGGATGCAAGATAAGGGGAATGGACCAAAAAAAAAGCACAAGCGGGAGTACAGGTGAAAGGAAGGGGATGCGAGGGGAAGGGAATTCTTCTCTCTTCTTGGGGATTTCTGCCGCAGGAATTGCAAGGAATTCGAGCAAGTTGGCTGAGGTCCTGCATGGGCTGTCTGACAGCTCTCGTCTTCCCATTGCCTCCCAAATAAAAGCGTCAAGCGTGATTCTTTTAGGTAGTTTCTGTTCCATTCTACGCTCCCCAGTCACATCACCGTCACCTTGCTTTTTGTTCTGTTTTGCATGCACATGTATTTGGTTGACTGTATCCACTGAGTGGAAGCACATAGCATTGGCTATCCAATCCCTAATGAAATGGAAAAGCTGTGTATCACCCCCCCAACCATGTGTGAGATTTAAATAGACGTTGAAGCTCTGTGTTGCATAGGTTGCCGTTAGCATGCTGTATTTATAAAATATAATTAAGAGTTGGGTTTTCTTTACTCGAGAATAAGGTAAATTGTTATAATCTGGCAAGAAGCACCCAGTCAGTTAACAAGAGAGCCCTGTTTCAGAGCTGTAATCTTTGGGAATCATAACTTTGAGATATGACTTTTAAAGTGTTAGCTGTCATGTTTCACTCCCTCTACCCATCACACCCACCTTGTTCCCATCTTGCTGTTTAGAAGAGCTGAACAGTCTTGAAAATCAAAGCTTCCATTTAAAAACATCTGCCTAGGACTTTTTTTCTTCTTTATCTTTTCTCCCTAGTGGATCTATTTAAGAAACAAAAACAGGATCATTACCAAGTCCACAGAGGAGCACAAAGGGATATTTCTTAGAGGAGCTTAATAGAAGCATGTTCCCCTTTGATGTCCGTCAAATATATCCAAGCTCACACAGTGAGACAGTACAGAAAACTATCCACCCACCTCAAGACCCAGACGCGCCATGAAGCACTCAGTTAACGTCACCAAAACCCACTGACATCCTCAGACCTAAATCTCAAGTTAGCCGTTTCATTGATTAGCTTTGTTGCAAAAATGCACAAATGGATAAATCCCCTTGGAGCCTTGTTTTGGGATAATTTTGTATACTTCTAAATGTATATTTTCTTAACCTCGGATTCTGTTTCATAAGCAGTGCTGGCCCCTGCCAAGCCCCAGATGTCACCCCGCCGTCTTGAAATACTACATGGTTGCTGTCGATTATCCATGCTGTGCTGTGCTGCAGAATTAAGGGAGAGACGGAAGAGGGCACTGTTTCACTTTATTCAATGCCAGCCTCCTGCTTTTTTTCCTTCCTGGCCAGGAGTTGCCAGGTGGAAACACCTTGCCGCACAGCCTGTGGGGAGGGACCGGAGGGCATATGTGACTGGGACCGGGTGAAAAGTTTCATCAATAATTGCTAAAGGAATCACAATCTGGGTTGCAATCCTGCTTCTGGGAGCAGTTGCTGCCACCTAGGACAAGAAGGAATATTTTTAAAAGAAGGAACCTGGGTCTTTGCCCAAGGAGAACTGTTTTGCCCTTCCCTGAGTGTTAAAATACAAGCCTGTAACATTTTCCAGGTTGGCTGAGCTCTAATTTGCTTCCAGACTCCCAGGTGATCATCAAACGCTGCAGCAGTGTTGGGTCAGAGCGAGAAAATCTGCCTTTGGTTCCTTATGTGAAGGTGTAATTTATTCTCATCATTGTAACCCAGTGGATTTCTTGAGGGAAGCGCAAGGCGCTCCAATATGTTCTTTGGAGTGGAAGCAGAAGTAGCACATTTTATACATCCACTGTGCAGCTGGCTTCATCCATTTGCTCTTTAGAAATCTTAGTCTGGAACGGGTACTCTGATTTCAGAAAAGGAATTTATCATGATATGAAAAAAAAACCCCAAACCTTTGAAAGGCCCACTAGAAATCAGCTAAGTCCCAAAAACCAGAGAGAACACGATTGCAAACCCTGCTTGCTTTCTGAGCTCTCCACCGTAGATAGCAAACGACGCATTATGTGCACTACCAGATCATCTTGGGTGGAGAAAGGCCAACACTTTGTGTTGTGGCTGGAATTGCCTTTGGACCTCAGTTTATGCCAGCTTCATGCTACACGCGCCGCATGTTCCCAGACGGGTCTTTTTGCATCAGAGACATCGTTGGTTGGATCAAAGACGTAGTAATGTAACTAGAGATCACTTGAGGAGCAGTTGTGCTGCTTTGTCAACCCTACACCCCATATGGGGTTTCCCTCTACTGGTAGCAGAAAGTCAGCCCCGGTAAACACACTATGGGACAGACCAGGGAGGAATCAATGGATTCGGATGGGAAGAGCTTCCAGGGACACATTTGGGTAAGGAGTGATTCACACCTCCAAAGTGCCGCAGGCACATTTTAGTAATTCCTTGAGGTTAGCCACAATTGCCGGGAGACTTGTGGTTTTCAGTTCAGATCTATTGGGTTGTTGACTAGCCCCTCGGGATCCACCGCAGTTGGGAGACATCGAAGGCAACCTCCACGGGTGCCTGCTTCTCTTAGTACCGGCCTGGAATGAAGACTGCCTAGTACTGGTGGTTTGCGAATGGGGAGAATGGAAAGTTTGCACTAGTAGTATCATAACCATGTGTGTTAACTCATTGAACAGTGGGCAGTGCCGTGATCCATCTGTGGTTCTCAGGTGCCGGAAAGGTGCAGGAAAACCGTGCATCAAGTTTGTACCCAAGCACTTGCTCCTTTTCAGATGGAGATCTAGTCATTTGATGTGTCTGCTGTCAGTCTAGGAGGTAGGACCAATGTTGCACACCTAGTTTTGAGAATTACTCTTCAGTGTACCACAGTAATTGGGTCATTGCTTTTACTCTGGGGTTTTCTAGAGGGTTTGTTCTGGGGTCTTGTTTTGATGGGCTGGGGGGGGGGGTTCCGGTTTTTATTCTTTGTTCCACACCTGTTGTTAGCCTCACCCTCACCACTCTACTATTTTGTATGAAAAAGTTACTTCTTCTTTTGCAAACTTGCCTCTGATTAAAAGAATCCTTTTTGAACGCCTGTATCCTTGGTACATTTATTTGGCGGGGAAGGTGGGGGAAGGATTTACTCACAAGCTTCCTGTTATTTTTGGCTTTGAGAAATTTCACGGTGCCTTGCCAATGCACTTTTCATTTAACAGCTCAGGACACTGAAAATGTAACATGGGCTAAAACTCCAAGCTGTTAGTTCTGGCCTGTAAAATCTTACAAGCCCCTGCTGCTTCTCAGGGAAAATGGTGCTGTCAGTAGTTTACACCCAAAATCTGATCAGCCTTCCCTTTTTTGGTGTTGTTCTCACGTTTCCTCCAGTTTCTTAATAGGGGGGAGCTGACGCCCAAATGGCCACCATGTTGTGCACTTCTGTCCCCTTGCAAATCATGGACATCATGCCTCTGCAGGCTTGAAGCAGAAGCTAATCTATCCTTGGAAGTGTGCTTAGATTGGCGACGCAGGTGCCAGAGCCCAGTCTGATGTAAATCAGTGCAGCTCCACTGGTGTCAGTGGTGTTATGTTCCTTTCCACCAGCTGGTGACCTGGAGTCAGTGGGGCTCCACTGATTGTCACCGGCTGAGGATCTCGCCCGCACATATAAATAAACTGGGCTCGTGTTGGCTACAGCTCTGTTTGGGAACATGGAAGATCTGCGTCCACCAGATGGGGAAAAAAAGAGTCAGGCGGTGAAGGAAAGGGCTCTTACTTCCCAGCTTTCCAAAGGGGATGTTATAAATAGTGCAATGTTGCATAAATACAGCCAACCCTTTGCAGCTGGTAGCTTATAATAACCCAGAGGTATCAATGCACCCATTTTTAAGATGGAAATCCTTCCTCTGCAGAAGACAGTGAGCCAGGCGCCAATCTACAAAACTGCCACCAAATGCAGAAATGCTTTTCTTTTTCCTGGGGTCAAGTCAGCCTCAAAGCATTATCATCCTCCTGCACCCAGCCTTCGCCGGCTGCAGTGCACGTTCCCCTGGCACATGCTGGGGCGTTTAAGAGCAGGGCATGGATATAAACCCGGCGGTGCTTGGGAAAGCTGCCACCACGTTTGTAAGCTAAACAGCAGTGTCTGAAAAGGACTGGCTGCCTGCCCCGCTCTGCAAGCAGCCCAGGCAACGACTCGACTGAATCAAGAAATGTGTGTGTTGATTATTGACTCTTTTTACCAGTATTTGTCTCATTTGCTTTCTCCTTTTCACAAATGGTTTCTCCTCGGTGGTTATTTTTTTTTTTCTCTCTTCTTCTTTAATGTCTCCTCTTTTGAACTTTGTTGCTGAGATTAACTTTCCTGTTGGTTTCCTTTGAGATGTTTTTCTCTTTGCCTTCATTGACCAGTTATTATCATGGCCCCCACCTATTTTTGCTTTCCCCTCCCTAGCATGAGACCAGGCAAAACTTTATCTAAGTGCATGGTTATGTTCGCTCTCCTGCCCACGGCCAGGCTCCACGAACAGGCATCCTCCTTGCTGCCAGTCTAGTTTGGATCGGAGGTGTGTGGTCATTATTAGCCAAGCAAAGCAGGAAAGAGTGATTCATCCTGAGCAACAGTCATATGCCGGCTAGTAAAACAAAGCCACGGTCTCTTTACCTGGTGTTTCAGGGGTGTGTACGCTTCAGTTATGCGGCTTGACTTCCAGATGGGTAGGCAGATCCAAGATGGATTGAATCCAGCTGGCTTGAGCAATAGTAGCATGGACACCTGCACGGGATCTGGGTGTTTAGTTGGCTGAACTCCATGCCACCACGTCTTCAATGCTATTGCTACCCGAGTCTGCTTAGACTGAGGCAAGGCTACATATGCCAACCCAGCCACCACCCCATTACCCTCAGTCTGTTTGCCAGGTCCCAGAGATCCCTGCCTACCCCACTCCCCCTCTTTGGCTCTCAGTTCAGTATAATGAAATGCTTTTCTGGACCGGTACGGTTCCTGTCTGGTGTTGCAAAAGCAAATGTTTCTGTCCTTCTCCACAAGAAGTAGCCCCTAATTTCACGTGGACTGTCGGCACATGTAGGACGTAGTGCAGTGAAAGGCTAGCATGCACATAGTGGTGAATTGGAAAGTCCGGGCCAGCAAAACGAGATGCCAAAGCTGTAATTGCTTTACATGGAGAAGGACGGTGGGGGATGCTATCTCAGGGGCCGCATGAGGAATAAGGGTGGTGTGGGTGTCAGCAACAGCATTTCTTCCCGGGTGGATGGATGAGATGAGGCGACAGCTATGCCTGTTCAGGAGGCAAGATCTCTGCTTTGGAGAGGGCAGCTCTGTACATCGGAGCTGGAAACAGGTTTAAGGAGAAACTCAAAAGGAACATAGGAAAAGGTTGACTTTGGCCAAGGGAGTCCCTGACGGCCAGGGAATCAGGCCAGGCGATATCTGTGAGAGACGGTGGGTGATGGGGAAGAAGCCATTCTACTGAGACAGAAAACCAGTGGGTGGGAGGGAAGAGGTACGAAACAAGAAAGCAATGTTGTATGGGATGTGGCTCGGGGCAGATGGCAGTCTTGTAGGGGAGAGACAGACTAAAAAGAGAAATCGCTGAAAGTAGGTTCGTCTTCCCTTGTTGAATAAGGAAGTGGGCGCACGGCGTCTGCATGCAAGCATCTGAACTCTTGCAAAAAGGTTTCAGAATGACATTGTGAGCTGGCCCAATTCAGCCAAATTGCCAAGTAGTTTGGTTCCCATGCACGGAGAAGTTAAGAAAGCGCCAGCTTATGTGAGTGGGAGAACGAGGAAATATTTCAGAAGAGGAAGCAGTCAGCATACACCCCATGATCTCACCGAAAGGTATTTCCCCGCATTGTGCAACAGCCTGAGAAGCGTTGCAGCATTTATGAGCAGTCAGATCCCTATGGCTTTTACCTCGTGACAGGCTCTCACGCCAAATAGAAGATACTGCCCAAGGCAATGGTAGTGAAAGAACTCTGTCCCCTCCTTTCCTCGTGATCCTAGATGCACTGATGCCACACCTACACCAGGTGTTAGCTGCTTGTGCCCTACCTAGACAAATTAGGTATTAGGTCAGTCATATGATGGGCAGGGCATGCCCATCCAGAAACTGCAGAGATCACTTGACATAGCCGCGCTGCAGTGTGGAAGAATTACCGTTCTCGGTTTACTGCTGGGGAAGCTGAGGCACAGAGCAGACTCACCTAAGCTAACCTGGCGCGTCTGCGACAAAGCCGGCCTAGCCCTTCTGCCAGGCTCTGGAGGGCAGTAACGGGCCAGGTTCAAATGTCCGGATTGCACACACTCTCTCTCTCAGCTTGAGCCTGCAGCCCAGAAACCTGGGGAAATGCATTTTACCTGGGTGTCCCAAAGTGAACAAAGTGCCCCGCTCAACAAGCAATAGTCACTTATAACAGGGTTCGTTAAAGGGGGACAGGAGCGAGCGCACACTCTCAAAGGAAACCCTAGCTCTTCGGTTGTCGCTGAAACCAGAAACTATTAACAGTTACTGCTTTCAGTCCTTGCACAGGGTCAGCTTGGTGACTAGTAAGGTAAGTGTTGCTGCTTCCCCAAAGCCTCTCCGTCTCCTTGGGACGGCACCATTAATCGCTTGAAGAAGGATGCTAGTCCTGCAGCGGGGACTCGCGCTCTGTTGCAGAGCAAACCCCTGGGATCTCTCGTACCTCACCCGGCTGCTGGGACACGAGACTCGTTATTCGTTGGGCAGTTATTATCGTGGCCCCCATTGATTTCTGCTTTCCCCTCCCTAGCACGAGACCAAGCAAAACTTTATTTAAGTGCATGGTTATGTTCGCTCTCCTGCCCACAGACAGGCTCCAGGAACAGGCATCCTGCTTGCTGCCAGTTGTGCTTGGATCGGAGGTGCCGGATAGGGAGCCCCCCTGGAGATATCCACCATTCCTCACTGCTCTGCTACCCCTCCCTCTGCGCCACTGCTGGGGACCGCTGCTCCGGGCTGCCATGGGGGTGGCCTCTGCTCCTCTTAAGGTTGCTCATGCAACCCCCCCTTACTCTTTTAGATCCTGAGCTCCGTGTCAAAAAGAGTTGGGTGGCAGGTCTCCACCTGAACCTGTTACAGGGACTTGCATCTCCAGGTACTTCTCCCTTAGCGAATTGATGGCAGCTGCTGCAATATTATCTGGCACCTGCCCCATCTTGCCCCTGCCCCAAGAGGAGAAAGAAGGGACCCAGTCAGCCTGCAGGACCTAGAGGTGGCAGCATCTATGGGAAGGCGCCTCCACGGACTGCCCTTCAGTGGAGGCCGAGGGTCTTTCCTCGATGTCTTGTTGGGGGCTCTTTGGAAGCGAGTCGGGTTTGCTGGGGGGAAGCGAAGGATTAGGTGTGTTTTGTGCTGGGAGAGGGGGAGACCTGCAGTTCAGTATGAGCTTGGAGGGGGCTTTAGGGGAGGATGGGGTGGGAAGAGGTTTCTTATATCTGGATGCGAGTGGCAGCTGGGATTGGCAGGAGGGTTTCCTCATGGGAGGGAGGCAGCGGTTGGGAAGAGGGGGGAGCTGGGCATTACTTGGGGAGTCCTGTGTGTGGGCTTTGAGCCTTTTGGATAAGGAGGAATACATCGGGGGGAAAAAAAAAGGAATGAATAATATGAAAAGGGGCAACTCCAGCAGGAGCCCCCATGTCGGTCACTCACTCAAACCGTGGGGGCCACTGCACTGCAGACCTCTGCACAGGGAGCGCTGCTCCCTCGGTGGCCTTTGCCCAGTTTCTCAGAGCATTTGCACTTTATGCACTCGACAGACTGGAAAGGGAGGCCTGTGCACGCAACAGCCTGGTTCACTGGCCCTTTACATCTGAACACATTTACTCCCAAATGGTGAAATGAGTACAAACTGCCCCAAACCGGCCGAACGCACATACCAAGGAGGAGGAGGCAGGTAAGGGATAGGATACACGATGTTTATCCCAGCAAAACACATGGAAGATAAGCAGGGTCAGGCTGGGAGTCCACTGTTATCGCTGTGCTTGCTCGTTCTCGGTATGTAGCAAAAGAAAGTGCACCTTTCTCCAGAAAAAGTGCAGTGACTTGTCCTTG